AAACGTCAGAGTATCGAGCTGAAAATTTTACCATAGCATCCTCACTCCAGCCCCAACATATGCCCCAAACTTCAGCCCATTTGAACTTGCCTGGACTGAGATCGATTTTTGAAGGGGGGTTCCCTTAAGCAGAACATTGTTTCATAAAATGATTTTAATTCTTGAAGGTTATTTGGACAATCAGAAGCGGTAATGTGAAATTCAAAGTGTTTTAAATTTGTTAATGTTGATAATATTGTTGACCAATAATTGCCATCAATTTGATTTAGATCGATTGATGATAATCTTATAGATAAATATTGAATATTTGGGATTGATTTTAGTAAGTCATGCGTACCATTAAACCGAGTTGTTGTTGTTTTAATTTTTAGTTGTTTCATATTGATGGCAACTGCAGCTGATAATGAAACAGCTGTCTCAAATAACTGCTCAATTGTTAATGATTTCAAATTTGATATCTGTTGAAAAATAATTATTAAATCAAGTGAATCAATTTTATTCAAATGTAAATAGTCGATTGTTGTTGATATTGTTGATGATATATTTTTAAACGAAAATGAATCAAATAATAATGTGCATGATTTTAACTGTTTTAATGCTTGAAATAAATCGGATGTAATTATCGATTTATCATTGTCAATTCTGTTTTCAATCACTATAGAACGATTAACTAGGTGCAAATTATTTAGATTTTTCTTGTTCGATACAAATATGGATGAAAGATATTCGTAATCATCGACTGTTGGCCATAGCAATGATAATAAATTTATTTCTTGTTGTTGTTCAGTGTCATAATTGTCATACCAGTATTTAATTTGTCCATAAATATGTCTGTTTGATTAAGATAGTGATCGAATTTTGGCTTGTTTACAAATATAATCAAAATCATGTTTTGATACAAATGATAAATCAGGATTAAAGGACACATCACTGAGAATGCTGTTTAAACGTGTATTCAAATTTAAAAAGCTTAGGTATAAAACATTTGTTTGAATATAATGAAATATAATAATAAGAATTTCATCTGGTAAATATTCAAATAATGTTATCATTGTTCGTGTTCTTGTTCTTCACAATGAATTCCTCATTCGATTCATATCTTTCTTGCAAAAGTATTTCACAATCATCTCGCAACTTTTTCTTTCTCCCTATTCTCTTACACTTTCTTTATCAGAACAAAAGAAAGGACATACTGTTGATCGTTCTCTTTCTTCTGTTATAGATGGTTCTGCATGCCTGAATTAGAAAAAGAATGAATCTAACGATACTTAGAAAAAATTGATTTATTGTAAATTTACGAGGCCACTCTCTTCCTTAATTCTAATCCACATGAGAACAAACCGCGGTGTGTCGAGATTCTGAAGAGAAAAATAAATTTTAACAACCACTAAAAAATACCTTAAAAGCTGAAAAGCGTCAAAATTTAATTAATATATAAGGCACTTTTTAGACTTAAATCTAAACGACGAAAAATCCAAAGCGTATAAACCTAAAGTAGAAATATTTAGACTTTTTGTTCATGGTTTCTCAGTGCCGGTATTACTAGTTGGAATAGAAAAGAATAAGCACACTTGAATTTGGCTAATGAGACTAGGCAACTCGCTTTCATTTCATGAAGGTTTTTAACACATTCACTGACTATCTATCTTCTATGGTTAATTTAATTATTGCTCAACTGTTGTTGGAAAGTAAACATGTTAACTTTCGTTTTTATATCATGTTATGTTAACAGTTTTTCATATGTTGAACCAAATCGAATGATGTTAAAGTGAGAACCAAGCGGCGGTGATTTCAAAAAGACGATTATTACTTGACGAACTAGCTCAATTTTATTCTCGTCGTCCATTGACCCGCTGCAATCGATAATAAACAAATACTCATTGTTTACCACTTGATTATAACCTCCACCACAAAGTTCCCCGTCGGCACAAACGAAATCATAATGGCTTGTTGTTCAACCAATGCAAATGTGTTGGTCCGTTTTTCAATCTGAATCTGTACAATGATATCACGATCCAAATGAACATTGGTTTGGCTGAATTTCACTTCCAGTGTAGTCGAAACAGAAATGGGGTGCGATGGAGACGAGACTTGCTTGATTCATCTTGATCAATTTGCAATTGAATTCAATGGTGTATGGCACGTATTGAATGTATTCTGAAGAGGTGCCAGCCGGAGATGAAATACCACCCAAATCCGAACTGTAACGCGGTGGTGCAATTGTGGCGGGAATCACAAGGTGGATTTGATTACCATTCAATAGTTCGAGCTCTAGGACATAATTAATTTCAATTTCACATGTAGAGTTTGATTGTAGTACGCCTCAAATAGAGAAGATGACTTTGTTAATTTGAAGAGTTGAACCAATAAGTCATAGTGCAGTCGAAAGTAGACGGTTTGAGCCATTCAACGAGGTAGAAATCTGAAAATCGATATTTTTGACGAAAATCGCCTTTTTCGACAGAGAAGGGGAAATCAGAATTTGAGCAAGATTTCCATCGATTCTTGCATTTTTTCTGATAACCAACATTTCCGCGAGAGCTAGCGTGAGCGCTAACCTACCCAGGTGAATAAAAAGTATCGAGTATTGGGCAATCCTACCTAGATAATCCGATCCAGTACCCAATATATCTGAATAACCTAATAAAACTGACACCTATACCTAGATATTTCATAGAAGTATTGCCCAATACAACGAAAAAATATTTAGATATTTTCATGTATGATTTTTTGCTTGGGTATGTGTTTATGCATTTCTTGAGGACGCAGGCCGAAAAATAGGGATGTACCACACTTTCGGTAAAAACATCCGAAGCTACCGAACCAACAAAACAAAACTTTTATTTACATCTTATTTTTGGGAGAACACTTTGGACTATCTATCTATGAAAAAAATCATAGGTTGCTATATAAAGTTTTGGGCCTAGAAACTGATTTTTGGAGATCTTTCTTAAAACCTGGTCTCAAAAATTTGTTCGAAAAACGTTTCTGCGTATGAAAATATAGGTTGGACTGTCCTCTTTCGACTGCCGAAGATCGCAAGTCTCTGCCTTTTACCGTCTTTGAGTTATTCAAAAAATAACAACTGGTCTTATATCTTGTGATGGATAATAGTATTGAGTGAATATGTGGGAGAACTAACGTATTTTGTTGTTGCTTTATTTATTCCAAACAAACGCAATTGTTCGAAGGCATCATAAAATTCTTTCTTTTTAAATTCGGTAAATTTGTTCCTTTTCACTGAGTTTGTTTCAGTAATAAAATCAGAAAAGATCTCCAAAATTTGTCAGAATGAACCTTGGAAGAAAAAAATCACAGAAAACATCTCGGGAAAATGTAATTACACATTTCTGCATAAAAGATGTCGGAGTAATTGATAGGCAAAGACTCTCACATCGGGGTACATTAAAACTGCCAAACAGCGAAGTCTTTGGAAAAAGATTCTTCAATGTAATACCTTTTGCAACACTTTGTTATTTAGAAGGACATGGCACATATGAAAAAAAAGAGCACAAGTTCATTCTCTAGTCTCGTTGTAATAGCATTTTAGATCAAAAAAGATTCGAATTGTTTTAGACACAAAAGCTCTTATTATAATGTCAACTTCTTCTACAAAAAAACGGAAAGTTTTTCTGAATAAAAGAAGATAAAGTTATGATCTTTTATGAATTCCACTGAAGAATTAGAGTTCCATACGTTCATTAGAATTCCATTCATTCGACAATTATCATTAATATGTCGGAATTTTTTTTGAAAAATATTTACAATGATGATAATTATACAAAACAACTTCTTTATTAAGGGAAAGAGAAAAAATGATATAAAGATAACTGTCATGACAAAAATTTATGATTTCTATTATCTTTTTTCTTGCTCTTACCTGTATATAACATACACATGTCTGCACAGAGTATAGTGACATATTTGTTGGCTTATATCAACAATATTTTCAAAAGGTATATTATTCAATTTTATTAGGATAAGATACAAATAATAACAATGAATTGTAAAAAATAATGGTAAGCAAGTGAGATGAATAAATCTTAAGTGAAACTTCATGTTTGTATATATCATTTAGTCGATCAGAAGTCTTCATTCAAATAATGAAAAAGAACAACATCCGTATGTAGAGTTTATCATCTTCTATGAACGGTTATTGCGGACAAATTTGATGTAGACTGACCCTAAGCCGTTTTTAGTCGAACACGTCAACATCTGGATCAGCATGGTACATCATCATTGGTAAGTATAGAAAGTTGAAAATGGCGGATGAATCAAAGTGTAAGTAATACAACTTTCTTTTTATCATCCGTTCGTTATAGGAGTTAAAAAGTTTGAATTCAACCGCCGACAAACGTCAACCGTCAGTGGGAAAAGATATATTACTCTGTTCGTTTATTTCATTCATTTAAATTTTTTTAATTGTATAGATTGCCGGCTACCGTGCAAACAAGTTTTGTTGCTGAAAATGGCAGATCATCATTGGTAAGGAGATTAAAGAACCAAGTTCATTTTTACATATCATCCAGACTCTATTATGAGATTTAAAAGTATTCGAAATGAAAAAAGATAATTTTTTCTTACGAGGAAGTATTCCATGTTTGATTAGAAACGTTTACAATTGTCTCTTAGTCCAGCAAGAGTTCAAATTCAAGACATATGTTAAAGCAACAGGAACAATTATTACCATTACCATCAACAAGTAAGTCAATTTGATCCTAGTGTCATGCTGTGGTCGAAAACTAAAAAGTAGAGGAGAGCGATTTAAAAATATGATTCGAATTCTACACCCAAAAGTGTTCAAGTAATTCATGAAGAGTATATTCCTGTCGCGATTTGATTTTTCACAATCAAAAGAATCTGAAGTTTCTGTTAAATTTGATTGTCTAGTCCCACCTGTTCATACGAAAGATGTTATACTGCAACAAAAACGGTACGTAAAATAATCAAACGAAAGATCTTTGCATTTGGATCAGATAATGGTTTGTTACAGGTTACCCGCGCCCATTTTCGGTACAATCGATTTTGCTGAAAATGATAGAAAATCGAAGGTAAATCTTTCTTTTCTACTTTCTGTTAAGTATCAGTGAAGGTACGAAGACAAGCAGATTTATAGGACAATTAAATTGGAACCGAGTTGTACTTTGACGACAAATTGAGTCTAATGAGCTGTTCATTTAATAACTTCGAGTTTTTGGTAGTTAAAACTACATTTGGTTTTTTTTCGGAGACTGTTATGGATTATCTACCAGTATATAATATTAATAGTTCATTAAATTTGATTTTGTTGAGAAAATAAATAAAAACATACGTGCAAAACAGTGTAACATAACTTTTATCACGATTTTTAATTTATTTATTTGACATAAATAACATGATTTACAAAAGAAAGTAGCATCCTCAGTAAACTATCAATATTACGATTTGTGTGAGATGTTTCTGTTTAAATAAGAGTTTACGCATATAATTAGCTACTATCCCAAAATGGATCTCGTTCAATGGCCATCTTCAGGATACTGTATTTCAATGGTCATCAATTCGAACACCTTTGCCATCCATGATGGGTAATATTAAGCTCTACGAGACAGTCAAAACTATGAGTAAACATTATATGCTATTATATGTTCGCAGCCATCATACATAATAAATGCCTTTAATTGTACAGAATAAATAAGAAAGAACAAAAAATATTAAAATAAAAAAAATAAAATTTTCACCCTCATTTGACACCAAAAATCAATAAAATATTCTAAAAAGATTATTAATATTTCAATGAACTTCAAGCTGTTCCAGAGTAAAATATCTGCAATACAAAATGTTTTCAATAAATCAGCTATTTTTTTGAAACACTCTTGAGGAGCACAATCTTCCAATAATATAGTGTTTCCTTCCATTCAGTAACTTAAAACAGACCAGATCGCATCTAAAGTTTAAATGTACCCTTTTTCAGATCATTTCAATCTCATCGGAAAAGAGTAAAATGACGATGGAAAGAGATCTAATGTTTATCAGTAGTCTGTAGACATCTTGAAAAATGTTTTTCATTCTTTTTAGTTTATGCAATATAAATTTAATCCAAATAGCAGGCGAAATACAAAAGTATCGATGACTACAACTGAAACATTAGTAAGCACAAATCCAGTAAATCCACGTAGTTCAAGAAATATCAGCGATAGAATAGAAACTGATGAACAAGAAATTGTACGATTAATGCTAGAGGAATGGAAACTTCCAGTGCCCCAACTAATCATATCAGTTACAGGTGGAGCTCGTCTATTTAATATGCCACCAAGGATACGGAACGCATTTCAACAATCACTGATATCAGTTGTAGATACAACGGGTAACTGTTAACCTGTCCGATTAAATTAATGAAATAAAACTTTTTTATTTTTTAATATTTAAAAGATGCATGGATCTTTACTGGAGGAGGGAATTCTGGTGTGATGAAAGAAGTTGGTGATGCAGTTGATAAATTTCGATTCAAAAGTACAAAAAGACGAGCCAAAATTATATGTATTGGTATAGCAAGTTGGTATTATATAACAGGTTAAGAACAAAAGATTGAAAATTATTTTTATTTCTGGTATTAAAGTTACTGTTTCATTCTTAGATTATGAGCAATTAGAAGCGGTAGTTATTTGTGTGCGTATGGGAAGGAAAAATATCATTTTTAATCCTTTCTCTCGTTAAGACATTGAACAACTCATGTGTTAACATTGATATGGAAGGATCATCGTGTACAATCAACGCCGGAGGAAGTATTTCCAGTAAATCGGCGGAAGAATCAGATAAGGACTCGGATGATGACAATAACTTGAAGTTATATCTTCCTCGACCAATGGAAGATGAAAATCCAGACAGTTGTCCAATTGATCCGAATCATACTCATTTCATTCTGTTAGATGACATGTGTGGACCAGATGATAAAAAAGGAAATTCAGATGAAAATCATCAAAAAGATACACATGTTCGAGCTGATCTAACACTCAAGATACGTGCAGCAATTGAACAAGCAGCACGACAAGTACACAAAGGCGGTGAGTAATGGTGAATACTATAATTCGTTTCTAAATCTAAGATAAATCACTGTTTCTGAACGAAAAAAGGTAATCACTTACGATTTTCAGCAGTTTGTAGTCAAGACCAGATAGTATCTTTTCTAACTTATGAAAAACGGTTTTTCCTGGTGTTATAACTTGACAAATCTTTGAAACACTAAGTTGTGACTCAAAAAGTTGCCAAAGCGACCTCTGTGTTTTTATGATGGAGAGTATAGTTCCGAGTGTCTTCTCCAAAATGCGAGCCAGGCGAGATGCGTGTCATCAGATGTTGCTCCTTTTACGTTCAGCAGGGGCACAGTGTGCATTTTTCCGTAGATCACGCGGACATTTGCTACAGAAGCAGTCCGAACATCTATAAACACCTTTTTATAGGTTTTCAGATATGCTCTTTCGAATGGCGTACTTTACAAAGTTCCCAGCGACTTTCATCTGAGTTCTAACGAGACCAGCTCTCTAGAAAATCCACACATAAGTACTCTAGAACTTTTTTAAGCACGCCATTCGAAAGAGCATATCTGAAAACCTATAAAAAGCTGTTTTTAGATTTTCAAACTGTTTCTATAACAAATATCAAATCCTTAGCCAAAATTGTCACGCTATGCTTCAACTCGAGCGTTCTGTTAGATCCAACAAGTTTTTGCTCAAAAAAACCTACTAATCGCACATCATCTGATGCAGTTTCTTGTGCTGATTCCGGATATGTAATTTTTGTTGAATAAAAACGTTTTCGAACCGAGAAAAATGGAAAAAAATGTCTGAAAGACTCATAGTTTTTGGAAAACCTGCTGAAGGCTTTAGAAACATTTGCGCATTCACCATAAATGCAGGGCATATAGGAAAACATTCTATGATAGTTTGGTTAAATTTGGACCTTCGCTAACTTTCCCGCACTCACTTTACTAAACTTAGCCCTTCGGAAAATCGCTTGACAAAAACTTTTTTGATTTTCTCAGCTATCAGAAGTTCAATTTCAAATTTTTTTTACTAATCTATAGCTGACGCCATGCAGATTTAGAATATATGTCGTTTTTCATTACAACTTCATTGACTGCTATGAAAATTTCATTTTTCTCACCGTTACTACTATTTCAGACTAATTTTTGATTAACTTTTTTCCCACGATGCTGTGCCATCAAATAGAGCTTCACTTGAAGTATATTAATCATTATTTGAATCGTCGAAAAGTCGATTTTCATTTTTTCACCTAATGTCCGCCTGGATGCACACTGTGGGGGGCGACATCTTCCCAATAAATAAAAATAAATCGATTTTTTTCCTGCAGAAAAAAAAATTCTTGTTTCAGTGGAAAAAAATTTCAATCTTAAGAAAGAATCATTAGAAACGGCACGGAAAACGCGTTAGCAAACGATCGTTGGAACAGTCGTTTAAACAAAACTATAAAACATAACACGTTCTTCGACAATGCATTTCTCAACGATCGTTAAAGTAACCGTTTTCTGAGTTTTTTACACCGTTAGACGACGCGTTCAACAAAAAAGTCAGAAAACGGTTAATTTAACAATCGTTAGCAAACGCGTTGTCAAAGGGCACGTTATTCTAAACTTCTGAACAACAAAAAACGCATTTAAACGGCTCTTTTAACGATCGTTCGGAAAAAACGTATTTTTTATCGCCTGGGATATGTTTAAAAGGATAATAGTTCTATTTACCATTCTTTTCCTACTAGAAACTGACATACCAATCGTACAACTGTTACTGGACGGTGGTGCATCAACAATATTAACCGCATATGAAGCTGTTATGAAGGGAACACCACTGATCGTTGTCAAAGTAGATTGACTCGATGATGCTCATTTTTTCATTTATAAATATATTCTTTTTCAGGGTACGGGCAGAGCAGCTAATCTTATAGCTGATATCTATGCCAAAGTTTATCCAGCCGCTGATGCAGAGATTAAAAATACTACTCAGTTTAATTCTATAGAACATATACCATCCTTAGAACCTGTTATCCATAATGAAGAATCTAATGCAAGATCGGTGGAAATTTTTCTGTACGTATACTGGCTAAGTAAAGTTTGTTCAACTGATTTTTTAATCTGAATAAAATTTAATTATTATCAAAGGACAGATGATTATTTAAAACAATATGGTGCTGCTGGAATTATTACGCCGAAAAATAAAGAAAAGTTTAAACATATGATCAAAAGACGTAACTTGATTAACATTATTGAATTTGATCCGGAAGATCATCCATTGAAATTAGGCGATTCGATACTCGATGCATTATTGAAAGGTAAGAAAGTTTTTAAAGCTGTCAGTATATTTTGTATCAGGTAATTATATCATTTTGTCATTATCTAATTTTTTTTAGCGGAAGATGGAGAAGTTCATCGGTTAAAACATCTACAATTAGCAATGATATTTAATAAATATGAAAAAGTAGCTAAAGAAATATTGATAAACAATAGACCTGAAAACAATTGGACAGTAAATATTGCATTTTTACAATAAAGTACATCTTTGTATCTTTTTTTTCCCCATTATTCAGGAAAAAGAACTAAACAGTGCTTTGTATGATGCTATCAAACTCGATTCTGTTCATTTTGTTGAATTACTACTTGAACATGGTGCATGCTTCGAACGTTTAAGACGTGTGATTGATATTGATAAATTTTATGAATATCCTATGTTCAAAAATGTAAATATTGTAGGTTAAGTGGAACTATAAAATATGATTTTGTTTTTCAATTCATTTTTAGAAAAAAACGAATCTACCATTAAATGGGAATACTAGTAAATATTCATATTATAAAGAGTATTTTAATTCAACTGAAAATGAAACAACACAAAATCAAGTATGGCTCACTATCTAGTGAATAAGTAAAAAAAATGTTTTGGACAATCTTATTCTTTCTTCTGTTTAGAAAATTCTATTGCCTGCTCAAACAAGTAAGTAACTCATGTGGTTCATAAGAAAAAAACAATTTTTTTGAAAAGTGTACCTTGTTTCATAGGTAACCTGTCTGAATCATTTTCTAGTAATAATATTGATGCACCTTGTTCTGCTAATCATATAATATTCAATAAATCAGATGCAGCACGAAGAAATGGTTATATCGACTATATAACACTTCGTATCTCATTAGCGCTCCAGCCAGAATACCATATTTGGCTATACATCATTTCATCAACCATGAAGACTGATGAATTTAACATTGTCTTCGATTATAAATTGGAAATTGCAAATATCGAATTTAAAACTACTAGTATAGAACAGATACAGTTGAAAGATCAAAAATTATATATTGAAAAAGGACAGTATCTTGGTATTAGGTTTGATAAGAAGTTGGATATAGTCAGATATGTAAAAACACATCAAATGTATTATGCTAAAGTTGATTGTAACACCCATTCGTCATCAGCTCTTAAATGTACATTAGACAAAGACAAGGGTATTGATTTTACATTCAACATCGCTTCTAGTACATCACGTAAGCTTTTGAAACTGGTTACAGTTCGTTGAAATAGTGTCTTTTATGACGTATTCTAGCCTTTATTCGTGAACTATATTTATGGGCGATATTTCTCGGTCGACCTAATCTGATCACATGTCTCTGTGCAAAAACACCGGTAAACAATTGTTTTATTAAATAAAGTAATTTTATGACAACTAAAAGTGGGCGGAGAGGTAGAGAAAAAAATAGCACTTTCCAACTTGAAAATCGTCGGTATACCGACATTTAGGCGCACAATGTATTACACGACATTTGGACGCAACGGCACTTGGGCGCACGTCATTTGGGTGCAACGATACTTGAAGTTCAAAGGCGCCGATGCGTGTGAGTGTGAGTATCGATGAAGATTAAACAAACAGTGATTGCAGTTGGATATGAGTAATATAGAAAAAACTCTCACACCATACCAAATTTGTTTAAAGAAAAGCATCATACTTTAACAAATGGACTCTTACTGAATGCTTTTGTCATATCTGCTCCCAAATGTCGTTGCGCCGAAATGTAGTTCGCGCCGAAATGTATGGTAATCAAAGCGTCAGATAAACTCTATTTCTTCGCGATTTCAATTAGTACCTAGCAATCATAGTTTGTTTCGAAATTGTTTACAAGAGCTATAAAATCAAGTTTTAAAGAAACTAGTCAACAACGACCAGCTAATATTCAAATCAAACAGAAACATAAAACACGACTCTCTCGCATTTTGCCTTTAAAATATAGCCGTCGTGCAAATTATCAAATTGTTGTTGATGTTTCAATCATCTGCTATTACTTTTTTTCAGAATACCGTTGTATCTGCATTAATTTCTTGTAAAATATACGAGCATGCAATTTATATGACAACATCTAGTGAAACGAGACATGTTTTAAAAATGAAAAAAAAGTAACGATACTGATCTTTACAATTCGCTTCGTTTATTTCGTTGTTTTTATTATTAATGATAGAGAATTTGATATCCATGCTGCCAATGTCATCGATAAATGTTTTGACACTGATGAGCCATTTGCGGTTGAGTTATTGAATACAAAATCTAGTTTATATTTTCCTAACACCCCATTAGATTTGGCTAGAGATAATAATTGCCGAGCGTTCTTAGCATCAAAAACTGTTAAAAAATATGTGGATTTCAAATGGTATGGACCGATTGCTACAGCAGGAAAACAACATGGCAAAGGATATATCGATTTTTTAGTGAGTAATGTAGGATTAGGAATAATACTATTGTCATTTTATGTATGCTTATAGGTGTTACTATTAACCATTTTTCCATTCTTGATACCTCTATCCTATTTTCACATTCGATTATCACCACCAGATAAGCCGTAAATTTGTTACTTTTATACTTGTATTGATTTTTTTGTTCTTTTTTTATTTACATTTAGATCAAATAAGAAAAGAACTTGGTTCAGATCAACAATTTGGTGGTTGCAAATAAAAGTTTGGTCAAGATTTTATCATTTTTATAATGGACGAGCGATCGTGCGATTTTATTATACTATTGTATGTACCACTCTCTGATAAACCTTATATCTCAGGTCAAAATTCCAGTTAAGTTCGAATCGGTCAAAAACATTTTTTAAACATATCGATTGTAATCTAGACCGCCCGATACGCTTAAAATTCAACATCAAATCTGTTTCGAGGGATGTCCGAGTTCCTGTAATTCACACATTCTACAGACTTCTCCCACGCTTCTACGACTTCCCACGCCCCCCTCCCACCCCCTCACTCCTAGTCACTAGTAGAATTCTATAGAATTCGATACATTTCCTAGATTTCTTTTCTGAGTACAACTTGGACATTTCATGTTTTGCCTGTGAAATAGTTGTCGTAGAATTCATAGGGAAAATGTAGAATTCTGTAGAATGTCTGAAATGTAGGAATTTTGCCATTGCTATCTGTTTCTAGTAACTCTTAGTCGGTTAAGTTCGCTTTGTCGTTTATTATCTTTCAACTAGGAGTGGAACTTTCCCTTTATCGTTACAGTAATGGGTGACGAACACCCCTTACTTGTTACCAGAAACAGTACACCGTAAGCTTCTTCATCATCGCATATAATATGAAATTCATTGGATGAATATTCGAAATTAGAGAGAGAATTAAATATGGTTTTACTTTCCGTTTTCATTTTTTTCGAACCTACTGTCGTTACGGAGATATTTACTATTTGCATTTTGGCGCACGTGTATACCGTCATAACCTAATGACATCTGCAAAGTAAATTTGGAAATATCTCTGTAAGGATGGTAGGGTCGAAAAAAATGAAAATGGAAAGTGAAACCATATTTAATTCTCTCTCTAATTTCAAATATTCATCCAATAAATTTCATACGAGCAGAATTGTTTTTCATTGCATTAGTGTCACTATAGTGGATGCACTCAGACAATAGTCCACATACCGAAGTAATCATCAGTCGCAACAGATGAAGGAATTAATTTTATTTTCATTGTGGAATTAGCACATGAGAACAATGGTACAGAATATACTTAGTCGGAAAGTTCAAAAAGTCTCTTAGTTGTGACTTTCAAACTGCGTCGTTTGTGTGTGCATAACCAGAGTTGCTTATGCGCTGATGGAACACCACCGCGTCATTGTGATTGAAAAACTTGTTTATGTTGGGAATCAATCAGTGAGAAAAGAGGTGCGATGAATCATGGTTGACTACTGTATATTACACAAGTCGATAATCTCGAGATCATTTCTGACAGAATTTTGATTTCAGGACTTTCTTCCTGAGAAAGTCATTTTTTTCAGATTTTCAGTCAGAATCTGAGCAAAAGAATTCCTTTTCTTTCTTTGTGTTCTCTCACAGTATTGAACTTATATTTCTTGCGTAGTATATTTCTTATATTTTTTGGTGGAAAAATTTAAAAATACCTCACTTTTCCAAAATAAGCAAAAACCGTGAAATTGTCAAAAATAAGAAAATTTTTCATACAGCTGAAACCGACCGCTAAATCCACGAAACAGGAGCAGAATCATAAAAATCCTATTGTGAAGTTTGCAAATGTATCTGGTTTTTTTTCATTGAAAGACTAAATATTAATTGTTATTTCCTTCTAATCAATATACTTGTAGGAAAAAAGTACTCGACGCTTTTTTAAAATTTTGTTTTGTTGCTGAGAAATTTCATTTTTTCTAAATCAGAGTGAAAAACTCGTAATTCTCAATTTCTTCATCAGAATCCAACTTTTGAGCAATAAAAATATCATATTCGGAATCAGGATCAAAAACCGAATGGACCAATGTGTATCTCCATCCTATCCGCGTACTTTAATTTTTTTCGAATTTTCACGTTGAAAAATTACCGCGATTTTTACCCAAAACTGAAAATTAACTTAAAATTTTGAAATACACATTGGCCCATTCGTTTTTTGATCCTGATTCCGAATATGATATTTTTATTGCTCAAAAGTTGGGTTCTGATGAAGAAATTGAGAATTACGAGTTTTTCACTCTGATTTAGAAAAAATGAAATTTCTCAGCAACAAAACAAAATTTTAAAAAAGCGTCGAGTACTTTTTTCCTAC